GCACACAATTTTTCTGGGTTCTGCAGCGGGAGCTTTCGCTCCACGTGCTTCTAACATGCTGTGCGCTTCCCCACTCGGCCACCGATCCACCTTCGCCCTGAGGAAAAAAGCTCATAGGCTGCATTCACCATGCTTTGTTATATATAGACCATTCCATTTAGCACTCTCTGGGCGGCACCATTTTGTTCGACAGCAGCGCCCTCTCCATGCATCCGGGAAATTCAGCGGGCTCGGCGGGGTAAAACGAGAGAGAGGGCACGCGCCCGACTCCGCTAGCAGACGACAAAACGGGACGTTGCCATTCTCCATCTTTGGGCTGTATCGGCGAGCTGTACGGAACCTCGAACTCTCGCTCGTGGCTGCCGTTGTGAAGTTCCAAAATCAGCCTAGAGCTCTCTGTTGTTCTACTTCGGTAAATGATCAATTGACATATCTTTTTGCCGTTACTTAAATAGCAGTTGAGTCAGCCGGCAGTACTATTCTCAACTACTGCCTGTATTGCGGCAGGAGAGCACGTTTTTATTTATTATTTCAGACATCCACCCATGGTCGCTAAAGGCCTACACCAGTACGAACTTTGTATAGTAAAAAAGGTACAGACACCAGTTTCACTTTTCGCCGGAGAGACCGGCCAGTCTGACACAGTTTTCCCTATTTTTTTTATTATTTGCACGCAGATAACAGCGCAATGGGACTCTGTTAGTCTTTTTCATCTAGCATAGTAATCGATAACTGGCATACCAAAATTTGCGCATCTGCGCTTGAAATTTCTAAAATGACGCGATTTTAAACAGAGTTTGTTCGATAGCCGGATGCTAGGTACTGCCCACTCGGCGGGCAGACGACATTAGGGCGAGCGGGGGAGGGAGTTTTTTTTTCTCTTTTTACCCTCTCTGCTATGACTCTAATGGAACGGCCTATACACGCTTTGCAGCAGCTGTGCATAGGCGCCGCCATAACTGACCTTCAGTTTTTGTTTCATCTTATTATATTTACTTGACTTCATCATAACCACAGCAGGGCAGGTTATTGCTATTTTAGGTTGTACTGCGTCATTCTCCACAGCATTGGCTTCTGTGGAGGCTTGTCAACGCTCGCTTCAGTGGCTGGCATGTGGGAAAGACAAGAGAAGGTCAGCAATGGCGGCTGTAATTTTGCGCGTGTGTAAAGCGTCTATAGCCACTGCGAGAAATGCTAAAGCATTCCTTCGGGAATGAGCGTAGAAGCAACAAAAATTTCGGCCCTTTTTTATGAGTGAGGTCTTACGTTATTTTTGGATAACCTGGGACGATAATTGCTGGGAACGTTGAGGTTGCGGTCCCACGGCAGCCGTCTTGAACAAGGCGTTAGTTCAACCAATAGATGGCGACACGCACCCGTGGGGTGGCCGAAACATTGGTTCACGGTGGGATGGCTCGAGCACCTTCACATTCCCCTCGTGGCCTTGCTCGCGCCGCTGCCAGCTGTGCTCAGCTAGCTCAAGTAGCGTGGCCCAGCAAATTTAATTAAAATACATTGCCAAACAAACAAACGTGGCCCAGCAAACGGATGTATGCGAGAATGTCAGGCTGGGTGTAAATTGTTCTCTGATATAGGGGCATGCGGTTCGGCGGTTGTAACGGGCTTTCGCAATAAATATTACCAAGAAGGAATCAAATGTTGATTGACGTGTCAATATTCTATCAATGAAAATTTCCTCCTCTACAGGAATGCACGCTCAGTAGACTCAATCTTCCAAGACACCAGTGGAAGCGGACGTCAAGTAAACTGCTTCGCGATTTACGGTACTTACCTCACCATTTTATTGACGACTAAAATAACGTCACAAAATATTGTGTTTCACGGGGTCCGGAAGATGTTGTAAAGGTTGTTACATTATAGGGGTTCCCAGAAAGCAAACACCGTTGCAATATTTTCGGAAGTACCGACACACATAATGTTGTAAGCACAGCTTAGAAGGAATATGATGAAAGCCATCAGAAGAAATAGGAAGACATTTATTTGCAATGAAGGCGCCATGAATGAACGGCGTTTAGGGACAGCAAGTTATGAGCGTTGTGGAATTTATAAGTTGACGTGATTGCTAACTATGGACATGCGGACAATGAAGACCAGTTTTGTCGGGGTATAGTGTTGCGGTGATGACCTGATATCGGACGACTCCTGGCAGACGAACAAGCAAGTTTCTTCTCAGCGAATGGTAAGCGTCCAGTGTCAAGCACAACACGTGGCTACCGATGTTTTCGACGTTTCGAACAGTTACCGCTTTCGACAAAAGTCCTGGCACCTGGGCTAACTTTGTGGAAAGAATCGAAGTCTTCCTTGAGTCCAACGCCATCATGAACAGTAACTGAAAACGATCCACTATTCAGTCGGTGGGTGGCGAAACGTATCCACATCTGCGGAGTCATGGGCGATGCGTTCTCTAAGTGGCTGGAAGTTTACACGATGCCTGCCACGACGTGCAAACACGTCATTGACGTTCTACGGTCTCTTTTACCTACGTTTGCCCTACCGAAAATACTTTCTCTGATAACGCGCCAAATCTTGCTTCAAATAAAATAAACAAGTTTTTGAAGAAAAAATACTGGCATCAGGCATCACATTAGTGCACCATACCATCCTGCAACTAACGGGCAAGCAGAACAGATGGTGTGCGAAACGAAGAAAAGCCCTTTTGAAGCTTACGGAAGAAGCAGTTCAGTGAAGAATCGCCAGGTTCTTGTTCCGGCAGCACGCGACGGTCTCATCTTACACGGAAAAAACCCGCCGAAGCAATATTCGGCGGACGAAGAGCCACACCCCTCGATCTCATGATACTATGGCCTACGAACAAAGATTGAGAGATTCCTAGATCGCGATTAATGACAGTTTATTCGGTCGGACAACTCGTCTACTTGAGGAATTTCAGCGGTAGTCGGGCCTTCCATGTAGAACTTGAGTAGAAAAGGCTCTATGTTGGTTGACCAGGAGGTGTCATCTCTCTGAATTCGTTGGATATCAATGCCCTTAGGTGTAAATATAAATAAATCACAAAACTCTCTTTGTGCATTGTGTAACTGCCCTTGTATTTGATAGTAGAAGCTATAGTGGTGATTTGGACCTTTCACACCAGGCTCCTTTTTCTTATTTTTCGCCTCATACTCCGTTGCATTGTTAGTATGCTTCAAGAATCTTTTGGAACGGGTACATTTTACGTCAACGAAGCCATTTGTTCCAAGTAGTCAATCAGGGAATGCTGCTAGAAATCCGTCCCTCATATTAACGAATAAGCCGCACTTCTGCACAGTGCAGTTTTCCTGTTCCACGTACAGTTGTACAGCAGCATCCTCATTGATTCTACCATATACTGTTGCCGGTGAAGAAAGTCTTTGGGTACACGATACTTGAAACAAGTCTGGCACTGTACGTTGTGGTTCGACACCCACTAATGTCGTCGTCCTTATAGAGCCTCAGCATTTAATCATTACCTCGTCACCTCATAGTGCTCTTCATCAACAGTAAGTGCAATAGGCTACCGCCATATTACAATCCAAGAATTGAAAAATTTCGTCGTTCAATCCTTCAACAAGTTCATTATTTATATAATGTTATTACGTTACATTACCTCGAGACGATCGACGTCCATCGTCGATCTTCAAATTCTTATACCTGTATATAAATTAGACGCACAAAGGGGGGGGGGGGGGGGGGGGGGGGTCGGTGGCTGAGTCCATGGTCTAGCGCACACCAGCTCAGAGCACTTGGAGCGAAAGCTCGCGCTGCAGAACCCACCCCGCCCCTGCCCGTTTCGATATGGAAGCGCATCGTACCGGCGTGCGGTCGTGTATCACTACTGCGTGGTGCACGTTAAAGACCCCAGGTTTGCGGTTGTAACGCACTGGCTAAATTGCTCATCTACAGCTGAGACATTAGACGTCCACTAAGGCAGACTAACTTCCGACTGTATAAACATACACACAACAATTTGCAATTATACGTATAATAACAAAGAACACAGCGTGCCGCCTCTTTTCTTTGTGTGCCTTTTTTTTTTAAACCAGCACAAGCTCGTGCGTTCTCTCTTTTGAGAAGGTTAGAACGGTCGCACATAAAACCGCGTTTCTCCTACCCGCCCGCTTCCTCCTCTCATTATTTGTATTTGGTTATAACTAAATAAGCTATAATAATGGTGTATTATTCATATTTACTTTCAGTTTCAGTCAGGGAAAAGGAGTTTCGCGGGAACTAGAACCAACAAATGAGCTGCGCTTAGAGTATCTGCACTCTCTTCCCCGACAGTGTTGTGCAAGCCGCCATTTTTGTGCTTGTGCAGAGCAGGCGCAGCTGCCGATCGTCATGATTCAAAAGTGCGACATCCTCAACATTAGATTCGGTGTTATGAAGCTCATGTAATGTTGCTTTGCTTTGTCGCAAACTGTTTAAAGTGGAGGACGGAAAAGCGTTTCTTGTGATTTCAGATAAAGCATCAAATAACTGGCAACCATGATTTTAAGCCACAATAAGGCCAAGTGTCTCTACTCTGAAGCGTAGCTTATTTAATGACTCTATTCATGCTCTTGTTCAAGAGGCTTGTAATACCTGGAGGGGCCATGACGTAAGCCCCGTGGATTCCACAAGCCACTACCTTTTGACACCTGACTCTTTATTGTTCCCACTTGTGCCAGTAAATTAGCTACGGTTCAGAGTAACGACACTTGGCCATATTGTGGCTTAAAATCATGCTTGCCAGTTATATGAAGCTTTATCTAAAATCACAGGAAACGCTTTTCCGTCCCTCAAATGTTTCAACAACCCGCGACAGAGCATTGCAATATTGCATCAGCTTCCCAGCACCGCATCTAATGCTGAGGAAGTCGTACTTTTGGATCATGGTGATCGGCAGTTGGGTTTGCTCTGAGCAAGACCCAAAATGGCGGCGCCCAAAAGAATTTTGGGGAAAGGAGTGCTGATGCTTTAAAGCTCATTTAGGGACTCTAGGCCTAAAGTGAACTCGGGTGTATTCTTTTTCTCTTCGTCTTCATTGTTTATTAATTTCAATCATATCGAATAATGAACACATTATATCACGCTACGCTTGTGTAATTATTTGTCTTAGATTTATTAGCCTGACCCAGTACTTAAACCATTCAGTTATCGATAGTAAATCTTCCAATATATTTTTTTTAAATGTGAGGGTAAAAAGACACGGAGAGAGATGATGATACAGAAGCCAACACCGCCCTCGGAAATTTTTTGAACATTAGAAATCAGCAGTTTGTCTGCCATCCGCCAGGTAGCGCAACAAAACACCCAAACAGTTTTTAAATGTTGTTAAATTAGCTAAGCTCTACACCTATTAAGAAACCAAAGCAAGATCATTGTGACAATTTAATACCTCGCAATGTATGTTTATTCCAAACAATAAATATTATTAGATGCCAATAAATCTGTTTGATGTCCAAAAAAGATGTGCGTCAAAACAGGTAAGTTTGAAACGCTCCTGGAGAGTTATGACTTTGAAAATGAAAGAAAGCCATCGTCCACCTCTTGGGCAACCATTGTAGCTCTAAATGTTATAAAAGATTTTATCATAGTTTAATTATTTCCTCAGCGGCATTTGAAGTACCATGACTCGAAGCACAAAAAAGCGCTACGTTTGATATAAAATATCAAAATAAAACAAATTTTACAGAACATTGAATTTTTTTCTGTATATTACCAATTATAATCACTACATCTGTAGCTAATTTCATTGCCCTAGCGCGTTTCATTAAAAACATATTTGTGCTGAAAAATGTCAATTTTAGAGCAATATTTGGAGGGATAAAAAAAACAAAGTAGTGCAAATACCAAAAAAGTGTATCGTTATATTCTGCTCCGACATCATCTTAACAAAACTGCTATATTGGAACCGTGTTATCTTTAATGGATCGTTCATAAAACATGAACTAGCGGAGCAAGTGAGGGTCCGTGCCATCATATTCGCAACGCTACAAATGCGAATGGACAGTAAAAACCAACACATACATAATATCCAATGAAAGAAGATTGCATTGCCTTTCGAATGACATCAATCCCCAAAAACAGTATTTAAAAGGACATGAGTAATGACCTGCCAAAAAGTACCTAAACTGCCACATTCAGTGGGACCGTGGCCTTAAGTTTAAAGGCAGTTAAAATGTTCATATCTGCAGCTAATACCTATTCGGCAATCGTTTACCGTAACTGCCTATACTCCGTTCACCATTAAGTTGAGACTGCAGCCATTGCCACAAGCACGACAGCTGGAGCTGTTGCTGCTTTGAAGCGTTCTTCCATTCTGTTTTAGCTGTAGTCTCGGCTTAAGGCTGAACAAAGTATATTCGCGGCAAGAAGTTCAGGTATCGCCGCCTGGTGGAATTTTTTCACAACCCAGAATGAGGATACTTCATCCCCCCGGCTGGTGCAAGCACTTGTAATGCCTAGTCTTTATGCACTATGAAAATTAAGGCATAACCATGTGGTATAGCACATACATTATCCATAGTGAGTAACACAGAAGCGCCCCAAGTAAACTTCTCTCCGCGAATAGCAAGCATTCAATAAATTACCCCTTGATTATTGCTAAATATCATTTGCCAGCCTAGGCCACTAGTGGCGTGAATTCTTAGATAAAAAAACCTCTACTGATTGGGCACTTTTCTATCGAAGCGTATGTGTGTTGCCGAGTTGCCGGCAAAAAATTCGCTCATCCACCGAATTGGGGCCGCGCATTCGGAAAAGCTTGCGGAGTAAGTCATCATCTCTGGTTGACGCGTTTAATGGACGTCACACCACCTGGTTTAAGGTTGGGGGGGGGGGGGGGGGGAGCAAGGCTTAGGTCAACACTCTTTTGTGATTCACGCGTGCTAGCCTTTAGACGACTCCTAAATATGCTTACCCGGTAAGCTTAAGCAAATCTGGGAACCGGCTAAAGGCTAGCGCACGTATCAATGAGGCATGTTTCCCTAAACCTCGGGAACCATCGTCTCTCTCCCTCTAGAAACCAGGCGACGTGACGTCCATGAAAAGGCGTGAATCAAAATGCCAAGGTTCGCCTGTTGACCTACCCCGCAGGCTTTTTCGGACACACAGCCCATGGCAAAAGGCATTCTTAGCACGCAGGTACTGCAGTTTCCATTATCGAAAGCTTTCAGACCGAGGCAACATTGCCGCTGTCTTCCGAACTGCGTCAATGTATCCGCAATAGGGAGTTTTCGTAAATCGTTTTCGCCGACCCGCAACATCTCCGCAACGCGCAACGATACCCGGAACTCCACAGTCAAGGGCATCGGTGCAGAGTTGCGGTGGCGGTTTCTTCGTTGCGGAGGACTTAGCAGAGGGGGAAACCCAGTCTACGATAAAGGTTGGTTCAGACATCTGCAACGAGCGCGTTATCTACGACTGCGTCCGTTGTGACCGGAGCGACCCGAACGACCGCTCTGCGCCGCGCATACACACTCCTGCAACCACTGCAGTGCAAGAAGCGCAGCGCGTCGTCAGCACGGCGACCGCTTCTACGCCGCCGTCAGCTGTTTCAGCGACACCTCTAAAAAAGAAGGGGACGAACTGCCACTTAATGCCGTAACAGAAAATAGACAGACAATTTTCTATAGCCTAATTTTTGTTTTGTTTTTTCATGACAGGCTTGCAGGGTAGAGTGGATGAAAGAAAAAAAAAAGATGCAGTACGCCGTCTTGGACGATCACGACTTTAATACACGACTTTGCCAATTGTACAAATCTCGCCACAGACCTTTTCTACGATTACAAAACATGATGTAATCTTAGCAGCCATATTGGCGATGTGAGCGATCGAAAGCGTCGCTGTGGTCGGCCCACCACAATTGGCCGAATGGTGACTATGACGTCAGCAAAGGATGTCTCATCGACGGAAAAAAGCGGAATGTAAGAACTTCAATTTTTGCGGTGTTGGCAGTGTTGCTTTTAGAGTGCTATGATTTCAGGCTTCCACCATGCCCATTACAAACACCATCGAACTTGTTGTTCACAAGGTAATGACGTCACGAAAGGTAACCGAACGAGGGCGTCACCGACACATCTCGCCGCCAATAGAGAGTTTTAGTAGATCGTTCCGATACCTCCGATAGCCCCGATAACGATACTATGCATGCGCAAGGGAGGCGGTGGCGGAGTATCGGGTATCGTTATCGGAGTTATGGGAACGATTTACTAAAACTCTCTAATAGCAACGCAGAAATATGAATTTTTGATCAGATGGACGTTGCGAGCCTTCAGGATTGCTAACACTATTCACTTTTCTCAGGTGATGAAAACGCGTGAAAATTCGCATCCTTTATACGGTAATACCTTGAACTTGAGCACACGCATGGAATGCGCCAAATAAGAAATCTGGGCGATGTTCGAGGACGCAAATTCTGAGAAAGCACACCTGCAGTCGAGGTAAACAAACACGACGGCACAGGCGTTTTTGCTGTCTTGAGAGTGCCGCCACGACATAGCCGTACAAGTAAGTGGATCTCCCCTTCTAGTACGTGCTAGGTTATCAGAGCGACACACGACAAAAATTAACAGTTAAGGAAAACGCTTTTATGGAGAACGATGAGCCTCCACCACGCCGTCCACGTCGACGATCACCACCGACGCCATGTTTGTAGACAGAAGTAGCAAGCACGACCGAATTCTCCTCGGCCTGTGATTGGCCTGTCGTTGCGGTCGCTCCTGTCGTTCTCGAACGTAGCGAAAACGGTCAGCCCGGCTCAACTCCTTGCGTTGCGAACGAACACGAACGAAACGGCCGTTTGGCGTTTCGTTGCTATGGTAATTACCATAGCAACGAATGCAACCGGTGGGAGCTCCAACCGGTTGCATCCGTTCGTAGGCGTAGCGGTCGCTCCAAGCGCAAGTGTGTGAACGGGCCTTAAGTTCCTAATTTGACAGGATTATCGGGGCAACGAAGCGGACAAGCAACAAGTTGACCCCATCTCGACGAGCAGGTTGTGGCGAAGTTGCCACAGTGTTACCCAAGTGTGAAACGGTTTTGGGTTCACACAATTCCGTTTGAGTGCGGCCGAGTGTGCTCTGCCCACTTGTAAGCGTTTAGAGAACACATTAGCACACTCGCGTCACCTACTATGTAGCCCTGGAACAATTCAAATTTGTGTAAATATTTTCTTTCAATTTTTGAGCACCATTTTTGCACCGTGAGATTGAAATATTTAGAGACGGTTATGAGCGACCATTTCCCATAGATCGTGCGTAGGTTTGAAGGCGTAGGTATGACAAAACCTTCAGTCTTGTTATATCCATGTCGGAAGTGTTTGAGGCATGGATATAGAAAAAATGAAAGCCGTTTACAACTCCTTGTAACACCGAATTGGAGCGCAGCTCTTGAGGAGGAGGAGGGAAGGGTGTTCTTGGGGCGGGGGGGGGGTGGGGGTGTCGCGTGACCTCGGGGGCGGGGGGGGGGGGGGGGGTCATGTGACCTTGGAGGGTCATGTGACCCCCAGAAAAATTTTTCCGCTAGGTTTAACGGGAAAATTTTTCCGCTAGACGGAATTTTTTCCGCTAAATCTAGCGGGGAAATTTTTCCGCTAAATTTAGCGCGGAATTTTTTACGCTAGATTTAGCGAGGAATTTTTCCGCTAGATTTAGCTTGAAAATTTTTCCCCTAGATTTAGCGGGGAAATTTTTCCGCTAGATTTAGCGGGAAAATTTTTCCGCTAGATTTAGCGGGGAATTTTTTCCGCTAAATGTAGCGGGGAAAATTTTTCCGCTAGATGTAGCGGGCAAATTTTTCCGCTTAATCTAGCAGGGAAATTTTTCCGCTAGATTTAGCGGGGAAGATTTAGCGGGGAATTTTTTCCGCTAAGTCTAGCGGGGAAAGTTTTGCGCTAGATTTAGCGGGGAAATTTTTCCACTAGATGATATTTTCCTCTAGATTTAGCGGGGTTTTTCCGCTAGATTTACCGAAATTGTTCCGCTAGATCTAGCAAAGAAATTTGCCCATAATGCACCGCGCGGTTACGCCGACGGCGACGCCAACGCCGACGCCGACGCCGCTCAAGCCGGAAACGGGCCCCTAAGAGCTGCGCTCTAAAAACAGGAGGCGACATACCGGCTCAAGCCAGCCAAACGAGCAAGTCCAAAGTTAAACCGGAAGGAGAGGTTCCAGTCGGTGGAAATGCCCCCAAGGGTGACCAAAAGAGCTTTTGGCGCCAAATCAGCTGTCCGTTCTGTCCCATGGCGTCTTCTTTGTCTCTTTCCGGCCATTTCCGGCCATCGTTGGGGTCGTGTCCCTCCGAACCGGAAGTCTCCCCCGGATTCACTTCTGGTCGCGTCATGTCGCCTCCAAAAATTTCCTACCTCCATGGCTCCAGGGTAACTTTAAAGATGGCGCCAGTGGGGTAGTGTGCTCTCTCGCCGTAAGCGGCTGCGAGCAATGCGCTTGATCCTACTTATATGCAGATGTGTGAACCAACCTTAGCAGCTCGAACGCGGCCCAAAAACGACGTGTTGCACTTTGGCTTGTGCGTGAAAAAAAAAATGTTCGCTGGTGTTTTCTTTTGTGAAAGTATATAAAACCGGATCACTTCTCAAAACGAACTACTTCACACCTGCTCGGTCCATATCCGCCAGGGTTGATCATTCGTGCAAAGTCGAACCCATTAAATCACGAACGAAATTGTTTCTGTTTTCCCACTCCCCCTATTCCTACACTAGAAAGCCGACCCAACGAGCGGATGGTACCAATAAGACAGGTGGTGTCAAAAGTGCACCAATACGGTGTTCATCACGTTTCTGTGCGTGTTCTGTCAACGCTTGACCAATCATGTAGACGGAAGGCCTCGAGACGCGCTTTTGAAGCTGTTTGACTGGTTCTATTACCTCGTAGAGTCGGCCGCGTCTGTAGCTAAAGGCCGACGTACAAGTTCCGCTTTCTGCAGGGAAGATAATCTTGTCAGCGCCCTCATCTTCTAACCTGCGAGTGGAGCTGTGTTGAGGCGTTGAGGCAAGTTGAAAGGTGGAAAGAATATTGAAAAAAAGGAAGCGAGGACAAGTGAAAAGCGCGAAATGTATGTCGATTTTTAATCTGAGTCGAAGTAAAGCCTCCCTGAAAATGTTGTCACTTTTCTTTTTATAGATATGTTTTCAATTCAATTCAAAGTTTTATTCAGATAACATACATCAGACAGTTGTCTAGGGGGCCGTCGCAAAAGGCAACTAAATGCCTGACGAAAGGCAACTAAATGCCTCCGTTTCACAAAGCTGTGGAAGGTCGAGATCATTGGGCAGTAGGTTTAGTTTTTTAGGCAAATTTTCGTTTACATGCTGGGGCAACCCGTGGATTTCTAAGTTTTGCCGCCTGCTGTATTGCTCTAGTTCGTTTACCTCTTGTCTTAGTTTCTCAATTTCTTGGCCCCTTACTTCCATCTCGAGTTCTTCCACACGTTTCTTCAGACCGGATATCTCCTGGTTTTGTAGCTTCATCTCGGCAATTACTTCATCATACTTCAGTGGGAATTCTTGCACTGAGCGTTCAATGCTGTCAACAGTTTCCTTAATTTTCACAAGGGTATCTACTTTGAGTTTCATTTCAAGCACTTCTGAAAGTTTGCTGTGAATCTGAGCGATCTCACTAGCAAGATCTGCTCCAGTTTCGTCACCTGGCTTCGATGCGCTCTGGCTGCTTCGAGTCCTCAACGCCCTGCATGTTGCGCACTTCCAGGACTTTTTTTTTGCCTCTGTCTTTTTCTTATATGTGCTGCCATTTACTCCGGAACAAGTACCGATGTGATAGTTAAATTCACACTGTGAACAGCACAGATAGTCTTCATCTTCGCGAAGCAGTTCATGACTGGCAATACATTTGTTTTCCATTCCTGCAATGTAACGCGTGTTTAAATGAAACATTCACTCAGCAGCAGCGGTTTCCAAAGAAGAACTTAAACTGTTAAAAAGAAACCAACCTGCGAAGATCAGAGGATACTTTTAGACGCCTGTGACGGTACCGTTGTGCCACTGCTGCTGAGTGCGTGTGAAGCTTGTCCAGTCAGTCAGAGTCTTGGGAGAAGGAAATCAAAGGAAGTGTTGCTGATCGTCCTTGGTTGAAGACCCTTTTTGTAGTAGGTGCCGAGCAATGACGTAGTGGTCCACGTGCGTGCAGCGTCCAATGGTCGTTCTCGAGGTCCCTCGATGAAAAGTGCTGCGCCCCGCGCTGTCGGCTTGATGAATCAACAAAGCCAGCTGCGAAGATCAGAGGATACCTTTTAGACGCCTGTGACGGTACCGTGGTGCCACTGCTGCTGAGCGCGTGTGCATGTTGTTTGTACTAAGTTGTAAGAAGCTTATTTGTTACAGTGTTAATTCCTCGAAGACTTTTTGTATTTTTAAATAATAGTGTTTGTTGCGTGTGTTAATGCGTTGAGTTGTGAAAACACTGTCCATTCTTTTTAGTTTTTCACATGTCGTATAGTGTTGACAGCTCCATTGTCACCATTTTCGTATATATATAAATGAGCACGACTGCGATCATTAGTTATAATTTTTGTTTCAGTATATGTATATGTAACATGACTTCTCTCAATATTGGGCTTTAATTCTCATGTGATGCATTGCTAGGTGCCTCTGAGGTAAAATATTGTCGCGAAGTTTTGCTCGCGCGAGTTTTTTGTCTACAGCTTTACTTTGTTTTTGGCGTTCTTCGGGGGTTCACTCGTCTTTACGGCACGGCTCATGGCCTCTGCCGGGGTCGGGGGACCCCAAATGGGGGAGAACGTGAACGCTGTAACGCTACACTTAGTTTACAGAACCCCGCGTTGGAAACGTTTTGTCTTGTGTATGTTTGCATTTGGGATATCTACTTCGGAGGTGGTTTTGCGCTGTGTATGTGTAACTTCTCTGTCTACATACGAATGTGCTTTCTGTTGTTTATGGCTGCTCTTGTGAGCTTCGTTTGGAATGTGTTCTGTCTCGTATATGCGCTTGTTTTTGGAATGTTCGTATTTGCTTTAGGTTCCGAGCCTTTGATTGGCTCTAAGAAAACCCCTCTTGATTGGTCCTTCCCAAACTTTCTGATTGGTGGACTGAAGGACCCCAGAATGCTGCTGAACTCAATATAAGCGGCCACCAGGGGGGCCGTAAGGCACTTGGCTCCTGGATACCAAGCCTTGGACATCTCCCTGCCTCTGGAAAACCAACCTGCACGTCCGACCCCCCTTCGGCTGTGGAGCCGTCCGCCCGCTAGCTCGCAAACTTGGTCCCCCTTACGGCTGTGGAGGAGTTCGGCTCGCCGCCTTTGTGTGGAACTGTGTTTGTCGAGTTTGGCTGTGGTCGGGGCCCCCGCTGAGGGTGTGTTTGGTTGAGGAGGACGGCAGGGAAAGTTTCCTTAGGTTAGAATTATTTCTCCCCCTAAGTCTAATTTCTTATGTGTGTATCTTAATGTTTAACTTTATGCCAGTTGTTTAATAAATCTATATTTGGACTAATCGAACCAAGTCTACAAAGGTCCCATTTTTATGTGACAATATATCAAATTCAATAATACGAAATGATTTGAAATGCGCAGGAACGCTGATGACTGCGACGTCGCTGAAGCTCCTCGACGTTCAGATACCACGGACAGTCGAAGAGGGCGAAGCGGTTCGGCTGAGCTGCGATTATGACCTGGAGGGAGAAATTCCCTACTTGACCACGTGGACCAAGAACGGCGTGGTGTTCTACCAATACACTCAATCAGGCGGAAAGCTCTTCCCGTTGTCCGGAGCTGATCTTAACGTATGTTAATTCAGAGGATTTGGATAGATGTCACCAGTCTAAATGATGCGCGCTTAACAATAGAAGAGATTTCAGATAAATATAATTTTATAGATGTGAAGGCCAACCATGATCCAACCTTCACTTGCATGTGGAAGGCTTTCTTTTTTTGCGGCTGTTTCCTTTATATAGTCACTAACAAGGTTAGGAGGACAGGGAGGAGTTTACGAGCACTGTAACGCAGTGCGTGTGTTCGTGTGCTTCCAGCGTCGATATGAAGGTTCACCCACTCGGCGGTCATGCTGCATTGGCCAACCTGCGACTTGACATTGGAGACGAAAGTTAGCGCTGTACACATGACTACCCACTCCATCAGTCCGGCCAAAAACGTGCATGTCTCGTTTAAGAAATAATTGTGCGTTAAATTTATATCAATAACTCAGGAAAAGAAAGAGGGGAAAGCATCTCAGTATTGACGTTAATGCTCCAGTCTTCGAGCGGCCATCCCGACTAAGCACAAAACATTTTTTTTTTTATTAAAGAAACTTTGAAAATGCATACTATAAATTTATTTTGCCAATCTTTCCCTTGTGTGAATGGCAGTTCTAATGCAAGCGAATATGGTCAGAAGCTAATTATTTAATACCGTAATAAACGGGTAAATATTGTCGCTTGCTTCTTATTGTTCTTCTCCAATATTAAAGTTACGAAGATGATAAGTTCACACGGCGTTCTTAGTATTACAATAAAGAAGCGGACGAGAGCTCTTCCGAGACCTTTCTTTAAAAGAGTGTCTTTAAAAGTAAATTATTTGTACCGCGAAACATTTTCTTTTTAAAAACAATATAAAAAAAAATTTAAAAGGTTCTCGTCCATTTTGTTAATTTAATCCTGACTATGAGTACGCGGTGTCAAATTGATATTTTTTAAATTAATATTAGAGAAGACAAATTAGAAGCAGGTGACAATATTTACTTGTTAAGTATCTAATTACTATAGTCGGTGACGGGTGAACACTTCAAAGCGAAGGAAAGGATGGCTGGGGAGGAGGAAGCAGGCGGAATGCTCCTATGACTTTAATAGCTCTCGCTAGAATCCCCCAAAAGAAGAAAAATATATGTGCAATGCTAACAAATTCCCTCTGTCATGAGGTCATATGACTTTGACGAAACACGAATTCATTGTGCACGTGATGTCACGGCGTGAAACGACGTCATGGTGTTACGTGTCGTCATAGAGTCGTGTAAAAGTATTACGTCACTTCAAAGCATGACGTCAAGCGACGTCATAATTTCACGATAACGTAACCATGACATGAACGACGCCACTAGGATGTCATGATGACGCCATGGTGACATGTGAAGTCAGAGCTCTTTGTCATGGTTCTTCATGACGGCCATCTCATAGAATTTGGCTGATAAAACATATACTGCGTTAATAAGTGAGCCTTAGTTCAGTGCAAAAATGATGTGCCTCTAACCAGAATGTCCTTATCACCGCTGAATAAGCTGCCACAGGAATAGGGTCTTTCATACTGGTGGAGACTACTTTCCTCGCGGTCATTTTAAAACATCGTATTGCTTGACTCTTTTTTTTTTTTTTCAGCTGCAATACAGTAGCGCGACATCCGTGCTATTCGAGAACGTGACCAAGGCGTTCGAAGGACAGTACGTATGCGAAGTTTTTACCGCAGCGCCACATTTCCACGTCGTCCGAGGAAGCGGTCCAATCAGCGTCGCCGAGAAAGGCAAGCTTCTTTGTCTTCTCTCGTACGGCCGACATTCGATAGGATCCATGCACGCAGCGACACACCGCAGCCCCAGCAAATACATGAGCCCACTGTAGGGCATGCCGGATAAACAAGGACAGAAACGTCACAGAGCGTTACCGCCAGACAAATAGCCTCTGGGGTGCTATCCTGGTCGCAAACAAGAAAGTGACGTGTCTAGAACGTTGGAACGGAACCTTAATCTCGAATTATTATTTTTGAGGCTCCGCCCCAGCGTTCGAATTCACGCACGCGGCCAGCTAGAATCTGACCATCCCCCTACGTCACGAGGACGTGGTCCCGCAGTTGGGACGCAGAAATCCCCGCGTTTCACTCTGTTATTTTTGTTACCTTCTTTCTTTCCTCCGGGAGTTAGAATGAGCGAATAACAGAGAAAAGACTAACTTTCGGAAAATGGAAAGAAACAGAAAAAAATAGTGTTATCTTGTTATAAAATACGAAAGATTATTTCAAAAATCATGACGTAAAGTGAATTTAGCTAAGATATCTCAACTTGTTTTCTCGAGGTCTTCCAAACCAAACATGGCGATGACCGCGGTAACAACCTTGTGGTGTTTGTGCCCCATTTGCGTCGTTGCTTTCCCCGCTTCTGTACGACACGGATGACATCACGGGAAGAAAATAGTATGTCAAGGTACGCCGCGACACCCAACATCCTTTGTGAAGCCGCCGTGTACATCAACTGCAAATGAAATGTCCTGTTTGCCTGTGAAGGAACCTCCAAATGAATACAGCGCTTACGACGACTCTGTTGTAATATATGACAGGTCGTGAGATCGACGCGGAGTGCACCGGTTGTGAACATGCTGTGGATAATGTACAGGAAAGTTTCTTCAGGCAGTTTTAATAATGCTTTGCTCCCTTCGCTTTCTGCAGTGATTACGACGGTAGTCCCATCAGCCGTGCTCTTTTTTTTTTTTTCGGCGTTTCTCGGGCAGTCTTTTTAGAGCGCAGCTGTTAGGCACCCGTTTCCGGCTTGAGCGGCGTCGCCATCGGCGTAACCGCGCGGTGCATTATGGGAAATGCCCCATAATGCACCGCGCGAGCCCTTTCTGGGGTCACGTGACCTCCCCCAGGTCACGTGACCCCCCCCCCCCCCCGACGTCAGGTGACCCCCCAGGTCAAGTGACCCCTCAGTACCGTTCCCCTCAGTACCCTTCCCTCCTCCTCCTCAAGAGCTGCGCTCTAATTCGGCGTTACAGGGACTTCTAAACAGCTTTCATTTTTTTACTTAATTTTCTATTTGCACAAAAGCTTGTGCAAAAAAAATGACCGCATCTCCACGTGGTGAATGGTGTTGATTGGAGCGAAGCTCTGGTGGTGCTGATGATACTGATTTTATTGTTCATGGGTAGTGCTGATGGTGCTGATTTGTTTATTGCTCATAGGTAGTGCTGAGTTCCGGATTGCCGTTTCGACTTCATTATTACTACTTTATGGTCGGTGAAATGCAGAACCATGCATGCAAATGTTAACGCGATTTTATATGCATTTGACCGCAGCGCCCTCTCCTGTATAGACGTTGAGCGGCTACATACAACGTTTCATCCATGACATCCCCAGCTCTTGAGTTACTACCACATCTCAGAGCCTCCTACTCGTCCCGCAGTCGTGGCCGAGTGGTTAAGGCGATGTACTAGAAATCCATTGGGGGTCTCCCCGCACAGGTTCGAATCCTGTCAACGGCGCAAACATGTTTCTTCTGTTTTTTTGCGAGCACGGACGGACGGACAAGGCTAAGGAGCCTTTTAGGGGCAAAGGAGCTTCGCCCTAAAAAAAAAAAAAGGTACTTTTACGTTTTTACACGTTCTTACATAGGTTCCTCACTATCCAATTGGCTTCTTTGCGCGTGGCGTATTCAACGCTCTTTGCCGTGGGAACGTTCGTGAAATTAGAAAGCCTCTGTTTGTCGCTAACAGCCGCTTTTTGAGTTTGGGTTCTGACGGCAAATTGACGTAAGAATAAGAAAGCACGGGGTTATTTGCATTGTTTTAACTCGACAACCGAAATAAACTAGAAAAAACATGGTCGTGATTCTCGTCGGATCGACCGCGGGTGGGGTTTGACATGCGATCAGTAACTTGATCAACGCGCGCACGAATGCTTTCGTGCTGTTGGATGAGCCCATTTGGCGGCAGGACCTGGTCGAAGAGCACGGTGAGCTGGTGTTCAACCTCTCCGATATAACACTTGGCGAGATGCAAGACTTGACTTCTATTTGTGAAGGTGTTATCAAGCTTGAAAGTGATGCTGTTGTTGTGGCTCGTAACGGCGAACTTGCTGGGATTATGAAGACGGTAATAAACCTTCATTCAGCGTTACCATGCGTCAAGATTCAAAACCTCACCTTGACACAAAGCAACCGACGCGCTTCCGCGAGAACGGGGGCAGCAGCGTATGGCTTGAGGGAGAATCGTGCTGTCGCCACCACCGCCAGCGATCGCCCCAACGGCAAGAAAACAAACGACAAGCTCAATGAGGTTTATGTAGCGCTGACTGCTGATTCATCGGACGACAAAGTTGAATGATGTAAAACGCAATGTATGAAGAAGGAGAAGAAGAAATTAGATGGTCCTGTGGAGTTAGAACGCAATGAGCTGGTCATTTGTTTTCTTGCCGTTGGGGCGATCGCTGGCAGTCGTGGTGACAGCACAACCGTGGTGTAAAAATTTGTATGTATATTCTAGGCCCGCCGTATGTTGGAAGAAAGTGGGGCGAAGCCCCTTAAGTTCCCCCCCCCCCCCCTCTCGCCCCCTACCCCCCCCCCCCCCCCCCCCCAGCCCCTGGCTTCGCTGCTGGTTGATACCATAAGGGGAGCATCCTACATCCACAGGCTGCAATAAACATGTTAATAGCCACTGAGCTCGTACCACAATGGCAAGATAGATGCAGATATTCTTCACATTGCGAAGCAGCTCTTTCTTTACTACATATGCTCGCCTTTAATGTCCACAACTACTCTGCTTCCGCCTGTCATTTATGCTTGATGGTGATGAGTTAACAGTGCGTATTTGCAATGCATCACATGCAAATTTCAAAAATCCAGTTCGCACTACTCTTTAATTTTAAAGAGTGACTGTCACTTTTGAAACGACAATTTATTCAATTGGTATCATAACCTTTACATTAAACATAGGTGTGTTAAAGGGTAACTGCAAAGAAAAAAAAGTTTTTTTTTAAATAGCCTAATTGGGACAAGCATGTCAAAAAACAATTTTTCCGCGAGAAAAAACATTTTTCACAGCAATATTTATTGCGTGAGACTCGTTTTAGTTTGCGGCTATTTCGTCCGTTTTAAATCGCGCGCCACGAAGTTGTGATTATGTGACGTCAATCCCAAAAGGTTCTCATTGGCTAAGAGTTTGATTGACAGCTAAGGTCTTGGTTGTTAAACCTTTGTTATATGTTGCAATTTCCTTTTGAGCGGCATATTTTTACGTTTAAAGAATAACCCATGTGATGAGAGTTATTATTCTTTACAAAAGGTTTACAAGACGGGCACTTCCGTTTGGATTCATACAAACAAAAGCTTCGCCATTCTTTCATGGCCGCCCAAGTCTGCTCCCGCCTACCTCGACTAATCGTTTCGCCGAAGTGATCAGTGTTTCGTCGTTTCGTGCTGACCCAGGTGCTTGAGTGAGACTTCTTGAAGTGAAGTAGTGTGTGTTTAGCAGCTGTCGCAGGTGTTAGTGATAGGAAGCGACGCGGGGTTTTGGCTTTCATAGCGCGGTTCTTTCGTTTTCCTCTTTGCTTGCTTAGCGTGTTTTTTTTTTTTTCTTTTTTTGCTTGTTTGTGCGTACAAATGCTGACTTTCCGGAGATGTCAGATGCGTGATCCCGACAGTAAGCCTTCCAGCAGCCATGTCGCCCCGAAAGGAATGCTATTTGGCTGGAGGCAATCGGGCGTTCGCGTAGCGACCAACGTGTCTAGTTACGTTCTCGTCATATCGCTCTGGAGGCCGTCGAGATTCGCCCCGTGTGCACCTAACGTCCGCGACTAGACAGAAAATAAAAAAAGCACTATGTCCACTACATAAAAATGGTCTCTGTTCATGCATCTGTAGGCAGGTACGAAATCGTGCCCAAATTTATTTATACCGCACGATGCAACACGTCGCTGTGCAAACGCAGTCCAACACGAAGCATAAAAACGGCAGATTTAGGACAACAATGCGGAGTCCATTGTTCAATTAAAACGATGTAATTTTGTTGAAAACGCCCGCAGCTTTTTACTCACGGTATGCGTCGGGAAACTTACACATTTTGAAACAAAACGAGGCAGATTTACTTTTAAAAACGCTCCCAGCGTCCTCCCGGACCAGTTTGACTGGATCAGCTGACGACGACGGGACTTAACTGGTTGAACGTCAACCCCACAACAACCAATTTGCGCTCCGTGTTAGCACCGCATTACACACACCACAAACGTTTCAGCTCTGTCGCATCGCCGTGTTGCACCAAACAGAACGAGATCGCCGAAACCAACGCAGCGCTGTCGTGAACCTTGGCTCGTGGTTGCGCACTCGTGGATTCTGTGACTCCCTTCGCTTTCAAAGCGCGCACGACGATTACGAACGATACTTTCCATCTTCCGGGAACATCACAGGGGCACTTCTCCGGTCACGTCTTCGCTACATGTGCTCGCAAACCGCGTCAAACCAAAAAAATACCGCGGCCTAGCGTGGTTGCCAGATCTTGCCGGAAGTCGAGACGCTGCGTCGTTCAACTCCGCAACGCAAGGAGAGTGAGGGGCGGGGCGTACTCCTCTTCCGCGGGGGTCGAAAGAGCGGGAGTTTCAAATGTGGAGAAATTCTGACTCTACTAAATTACGTCCTGTGGCGTAAATATTGATAAAAAAAATATTTTTTTCCGCGGAACATTTGTTTTGTGACATGCTTGTCCCAATTAGGCTGTTTAAAAAAAAACTTTTTTTTCTTTGCAGTTACCCTTTAAAGGTAG